CCCCGCGGCGCCAGAGATTCGCGTCGTCGTCTTGTCCGCGTCGATAAATCTAAAAACATCGAGACGGTCGCTCGAGATTCTCGGCGCGAGTGCTCCAGAATCAGATAGGGGCCGCGAGGAGCGCCGGCCGCGGCCAAGAGCTGACGTCCACGGAAAGGCATCATAGCCAGTGAGTCGCAGGAGGACGACCTTCGACTCCTTTCTCATCAGGTTCCACGTCCGGTTTCCGGTGCGCGGGTAAAAAGAGAGGTGTATCCCCGAGTTAATGGAAAGGGAGAGAAAGAGGCGCGGTCGGCGAGTCCATTCATATTTGACCGCCACCGCAAGCAGCTCATCATCGCTGACCACGCGTTGCGCAACGCGAGGTCTTGAGCCCCTCCTGGCCGGCGGGTCGCGTCCCCCCAATAGTCGTAAGGTAGGACAGCGGCCCGCGGCAAGTCTACGCGGCCACGCCCGGCCCGGCTACACCGCTGGTCTAGTACCAGACGACATGAATCAGTTTAATCATAATGGCCCGCCCGATCAGTCGCGTTGTTGTCCTATGGCAGCAGCGGCCCCCAGATCGGCGCGGTCCTCGCCCGGGGGCCCCTGGGGGGCTGACTTGACTACTACCGGTCGTGCGGGCGTGCTGCTGCGAAGGACCGCGTCGAGCTTTCGCCCCCCGCTCGGAAGCCGGCGGAGGGTGGGGTGAGAAATTCGGCGTGACACAACGCAGGGCAGATGCGATATTGGTCCAGCAGCAGCAGAGGCCCAGCAGAGGGCGCGCCCAAGCGTAAGCGTGCCGCGAGATGGTTGTCGTCGGCCAAAACACTTCAGCGGGGCTCGGCGCGCGGCAGAGAAAACGTCAAGCAGCGGACTACTCCTGGCGCAGCGACGCGGTTTCTCTCCGAAAAGCGACGGAAAGAGAGTCGCCGTCTCTTCCTCTGCTCATATATAGCTGCCTTTAAGTGATCGTAACAAGAACGGCGACCGCGGGTCCCATTTGCAAAGCAAACAGACACACGACTCTCTCTCACACACTCACGCATCTTCTCCTCGTGTTTGAAGAACGGGGGCCCCCCGGTCACACGACAACCCCGATAAATAACGTCACTCAGTTCCTCATATATACGGCTGCTGTGTGTGTCGCCTGTGTGGCGACATATGAGCTGCAGCTTTGCAGCCGGTACCGCGCAATGGGCCCGCGTGATCTCACATTAGCGGGTGGGTACGTGACTTGAACGCAGGGGGCGGGGCGACGCGGGGCGGGGCGGGGCGGCTGCTGGGTCACCTGCGCCCCGCGGGGTTCCTGGGGCCTGGAGCTATGTACGGCGCTACCACGTACAAGTCAGTCGGTGCTGCAGCACGATCGGCCCGAGAGTGACACTCTGCCATATGGGACCGCGCGCCCCATTTTCGGGGCACTTCGGGCCGCAACGACGACTCCAACACGAGGTTACGTTATACACGTCATACACGCGGCCGTTAAGGGAGACGACTAGGCACATGAGATGGTGCGGCCCGGGGCGGAGGCGGCGGCGTCACGAGCGCGTCGCGGTCAGGCGGGCACGCGTGTTGCACAGCGCGCGACACCCCAGCGTGCCAAGTTGTGGCTGCCGTCGGGGACGGCCAGGATGCACACACACGGCAGGCGGCAGGCGCCGCGGGAGGGCGACATCCGCTCCGGGGGGGACGCACGACGACGCACGCACGCGCGGAAACTCCTCCGGGCCGGGTTACTCCGCGCACGTGGTCTCTCGCCTTGCCACTACTGGAGGGCGTCGTCGGCGGGGAGAGGACGGGGGGGAGCGTAACGCGGCTGGCCGGCCCTTGAACACGAGGCGGTCTCCTTGACCAGCTCGCGGAGACTATGACGCTCAGCGACGACGTGGGAGCGCATTTCGACCGGAAGAGACCCTCGGCCCGCTCGGCCCGGAGCCCGGAGCAGGAGGTCAGCGGCACAGTAATCGTATCACGTTGCGAAGTAATGGGCGGCCGCGAGGACCGGAGCGGAGATCGGGTGGAGCAGCCCGGCTGTGCCCGTCGCCAATCACCCGTAGGCGCCCATAGCCTTGCCCCGGAGCCGACCTCTCGCTGGAGGAGAATGGCGGGCGCCGCCGCGGCGCTGGCAGGGTGTGGCGGGGCGCAGGACGCGAGGAGGGCGCGGCCGTGTTGGCGGCGGCTCTGCTCCGGCTCCACCCGCACGTTGTCACCTCCGCGGTGCTGGCACAGCGCGCGGGTCCCCGAAGTCCTCCGGCGTCCTCCGGACCGGGCCGGGAGACGGCTGGCCCAGGGGTTGGCGTCTCTGCGATAGCTTCCCGCTCGTTGTCGCCTTCGGGGGCGCGGGTGTTAAGATGGGGCCTCTCTCCCACGGCTACCACTGCTACCCGAAAATCACTAGCACTTCATCGGCTTACGCCACACACAAACACACACACACGATGATGCACTGTTGGAGTCACTCGCACGGCCGCTCGCTCGCACGCACGCACTCACGCGGGGCTCTCGCTTGTTGCAGCAGCTGAGTGCCGGTGTAGCCGGTGTGGGCTCCTAGTGAGCGGCTGCTGGGCACTGCTGGGGCTGGGCGGCTGCGCGGGGCGCACTGAGGCGAGCCCCCTCGTGCCGACAAACGGCGGGCGGCGTCGCGCGCGTCCCGGCGCGGCAGGGGGGGCCGACGGTGGGCCGGACGGGGTGGGGGTTAGCCCCTGAGCCTGGGCCCCAGCGGTGGAGGGCGACCGGAGTGTGTGTCCGCGGACCAGCCTATGGGCGCCCGGAGGTGTGACCCTACCCCCGCCACGACCGGCGGGCCACGCCGTGCCCGACCACGTGGCGCCCTGCCACGCCCTGCCCTGCCACGCCCTGCCCTGCCACGCCCTGCCCTGCCACGCCCTGCCCTGCCACGCCCTGCCCTGCCACGCCCTGGGATAGTGACCTATCCAACCCAGCACGGCCCCCCATCAGCGGATACTACTTATCCCCAAATCGATCTGAGCTCAGGCTTGATCTGCCCTACTACTCGAGGCGAGATCAAGGCCCTTCCCTCCAGGGACCACGAACAACACAATGACTTCGCAATATGTGGAGCACGACGCGCTTTATCGCTACAGGGGGGCAAAAAAAGGAAAATGATAAAAGAACAATAATTGCAGTGGTATTGGTGCCCGTGGTACTTTATCCCCCCGCTCCACCCCCGGCCGCAAAGGCGATCGCTTTGCAGCGCAGCGTGTATGGCTGTCGTTAAGCGTCGCTGTACACGGCGCCAGGCCAGACCGCGAGCTGCGGCGTTTCATTTCATCCGAGCCGCTGCACAGCGTTCACGCTCAAACGGGCCGGCTTGGTGCCCGCCCAACTGCGCTGGAGCTGACAGCATCCCCCCATGGGAGGGGGCGTGTTTATTCGCAATCTCTGACGGGGACCGGAAGTCCCCCGTGAACGGACCCGGAAGTGTCAGCTGCCATATCAACCCCAATGGTAGGTCAATGAATCCCTTTGGTCGAAGAGATTTTTTTTTCCGCGTGCTCAGCTGCAGCTGTGACCGTTTCCCAGCAGGCCGGTCTCCAGCCGCGATTACGCAGAACGATTTTGTTGTCCTCGTTACTTCCACTTACTCAGGCCATTCCCTGGCCGGATAGCAACCCCATTGACAGCGGCCGCCGCGCTCCTTCTTGTCGCCGCCGCCGCTGCTGCAGTTCTAGTAGACGGCCTCCCTCTCGTGTCCACGTCCACCACCCTATTGCTACTGCTAACGTGCGTCGCCGACGCCCGCATAATGCCAAGGTCCACGCAGAAGGGCCGGGTCCTTACCTGGAGCCGCTCTGGAGGCTGGAGCTGCTGGAGCTGCGGCTGGAGGCCCAGGCGACATTAATGAATTAGGCGCACGGGTCACGGGGCGGTAACAACGCCGCGGCCGGCCAGGCCGACACAAAGTCGCGATACGGCTGTAAATAGAGCAGCGCAATCAATTCATATTATTATTGTTCAAAAATGAGAGAAAAAACTATCCTGAATGAATGTGATTACATTCAACGCATTCAAACATCATTAACATAACAAACAAAACACTGCAACACTACTTATTATTAAATTATTTGGTCTGTTACATTCTATTCCTTTTTCCATGCTTTTTTTTTCTCTCCCATGTCGTGTGTGTGATGTGAAGAAAAGGAGCGCGTGAATATGTAAAAATCACGAGCATATGAGTTAGGTAAATGCAAGGCGTGGTGGTGAAAAAAATTGGAGTGGAGATAATTGTGGACTTTAAGTGTGCAATGCGGGCTAAGTGTGCAGCGGCGGTGGGATAATTAAAGTGCAATCATCGGCTGGAGGCTCGAGGAGGAGGCTGCTTATTTCTCGCTGGAGGCTCCAGGCGCGCGCCGCCGCCTGAATGGTAAACACACACGGGTTGAATCGCCGAGTGATATGTCGGCCGAGTCCTCACACCTGTGTGTTGCGATCCCCCCCTCTCTTCTTGGAGCGCGGCCACCACAGGAGACCTGCAGCCGCGCCTGCTGCGCCTGCGCCTGCGTCTGTCATACCCGCAGCGGTCAGATGTCTATCTCTGCCCCGGTAATGGCGGGCAGCAGTGTCGATTGATTAACACGTTTATAAATGCGAATCAATTATTAGAACATGCCGCCGATGTTGCCGCCTGCCCCGCCGATGTTGCCGCCTGCCCAGCGCCGATGCTAAATCCTCATTACGTAAAAGATCGGGAACCATGAAAGTCACACTTGGGCATATGTTGTGCAGCTTGGCACCCAGAAAAATTCTGTGTTGAAAGCTGTAGCTACCATTGGCGAACAACCATAAAATGACGGTTGAACTCGCGGTAGAGCCAGCATGAAAATGGTAGCGGAGAACTGAAATTAAGTACTATTCACTGGGAGATTGTTGTTTCAACCGTTATTTTATGGTTGTCTATGAGTTAACCACGATGGTAGTTATTACTTCTTTTTTTTGGGGGGGGGGGGGCGGCGAGGGTGCTTTCCTCGTACGGCCGACGGGCGAGCGGCGTACACCCCAGAGAGAAATAGGTCGTGGAAAAGACGTGGACTCCACGTGGTTTCGTGGATTTTTCGTGGTGGTGGATACATCCACCAGATATCCACCACTATTTACCTTTCTAAAAAGTTGCAAATAAAATCATAAGAAACCATTTTTTCGTCAACATTTCTTACTAAATGGGATTTTTATTGTTCTGAACGCCATATTCCAGTATATTGTCAATTCGACGTGGAATCCACGTCGAATCGACGTGTATCAGTTCGTCTGTCATTTACACGTCGATTCCACGTTGATCTCACGTCGATTGCCTCGAAACCCTTGATTTAGTTGCTCGTACCAGTTGGTCTCAAATGTAGCTATGCTTATCACTTTAAAACAGCGCCAACGAAACTGTTAGACATTTATTCTGTGACAGAGCACACGCTTTTCATTCGTCATCTTCATTGAAGAATACTCAGATAGTGTTCTTGTGAACACCTTTCAAATATTCCGCCACGACATCATAGAGTTTCGTTTTGGACGGAAAAAAGAAGGCACCGTAAGTTGTTTACATTCGAAATGTCGTATCGTGTTTGTGGTCTTTTAGTACAAATTACTACAAAAAATCAAACAAGCGTAAGTGAATACAATTTTTTTTACGTTTCCTCTTTGTATTATCGCATCGTTAGCAATTTCTCTTCGTGCAGGTTTTGTCTTCTGTGGACGTATGGTGATATAGAGGCACAAGAGCATGCTGGTACCAGAACTGCTGCCGTTAATCAAAGTCGGAAGGTAAGGAAAGGTCTAAACTTATAACTTCTCAGCGTGATTCGGTTATAGATGTATTTAGTGTCAAGAAAAGATATTTAATCTCTGTCTTTTATCGTGGGCGAAGTATAGACTAGGTTAGTTTGGTTTAGGTTATCATACTTAACCTCTTAGGGAATGACTCGAAGCCTGAATAAAACATTAATTACACTGCAACTCAAAATTTGTTTGCGTTTTTCACCGAACTTTTCTGCTATTGTTACACAGTGTTATTGTCAGTGCATTGATTTGAACTCTAGACCAGGTTACGTTGAAAGGCTTGTCTCTCTGATAGTGTGTATTTGAAATTATATTCTTGTCGTTGCTTCTTCAAATTCAAATGGTTGTTATAAAAAGTCTGTTCACTTTTTATAATGTTACCTCCATATTCACAGTAATTTAGTTTCATTTATTTTCAGGTGCTTTGGTAGATTTCAATAAGCAGGGGGGTAGTACCTTCTGATGAAGAACCCATTATAAACTGGCTGATATATGCAGCGAGAAGACTGTTTATGTTTTTCTTTAAGTTTCGTTGCATCTAGTCATTGCTATTTTTGTTTTAAAGATTAGGATTTATTTCTTTATTTTATTGTTTTCATGTTTCATCAAATAAAGTCAACATTCTACTCAAAAAAAAAAAAAACTGTTTCTCTATGTACTGTTTACCCTTCACCTTACTATATAAATTCCAGAGTTATACCTAAATTTGAGATTCAGATCTGCGTGTAGCACTTTTGTACGTGGAGACTTTACGTCGATATCACGTTGAATCGACGTGATCAACACGTCGATAAATCGTGGATGAGATAGTCAAATTCACGTGGATAACACGTGAATTTGCCACGTGTTTTCCACGTATAACACCACGTCGATTCCACGTCTTTTCCACCAAAATTTCTCTCTGGGCACGCCAAGGACACGGGCCAGCCGCTGCACAGGACAGGGCAGCCTCCTGCCGACGCTCCAGTCGACGCTCCAGCACAGGGAAAGGAAGCGAAAGGTGCGGGCCGGGCCATTGGCCGCGGGGCTCTGCCGCCCGGACCAGCCGCCGCCGCAGAGAGGGACTCTTCATAAAAACAGCGTTACGTAACCCGCGCCGGAGTCGTGGCGATCGTGATAATACCAAACGGATCATTAAATCCGGGTAATGAGCGCATGATCGCGAGGCGCGGGGGCGGCAGCGGGAGCAGGGCGGGGCAGGGCGGGGCAGGGTGGGGCAGGGCGGGGCAGGGCGAGGCAGGGCGGGGTAAACTTGCAGCGGCTGGGGCCCAAGGCCAAGGCTGCGCTGTGACGGCGGCGGGGCAGACTGACGTGAGAAATGACGAGTCATGGGAGGCGCCGCCGCCGTGCGCCCGAATAGAGAGATGCCATCAGCGGCGGGGCGGCGCGGGCGGGCAGTATGGCGACAACGGGCAGGGCTATACAGGAGCTCATTAAGGCGGCCGAGTTGCCTGCTCTGCTGCTTGCCAGCGCCCGCCTGCATTGAGCAGGGGTACTACTACTGATCAGCTGATCAGTCCGGCAAATGACGCTGGCCGCGCTGCGCTCTGCATGTCGGGCGAGAGGCTCTCCGGGCCGCCCTCGCTTGGGCGCCGACCCGCCGCCGCGCGGCCCACACGGTTGGGTTTGACCCCGCCCCAGAGTCTGGTCGTGTTACGACACGGAGCCGGGGCAGCGCAGTACGATGCAGTGCCGAGATCAGCATGTGTGTGTGTGTGTGAGTGCAAGTGCATGGGCACGGTGGTGGTGGCCAGGACCACGAGCACCACCACGGCGCGGGCGGGGCGCACAACAATGAACGTTAACAACCAGCCCTCACCTATTGCCGAGGCGGCTCTCTGGCGTCCCCTCTCCCACCCCCATCCCCCCTCGCCCCACCACTCCCCCGCCGGCGCCACCGTCAGTGAGTGGTCTGTATAATATGCGAGTGGTTCTGCAAGCGCGGAATAACTGCCGCACTCGGCAAATCATATCGTGAAACCTTGCTGCCGCAGTCTGTGTGTCTCCCTCTTTGTCTCTATCCCTCTATGCACTGCAAAAAAAAAAATCAGTCATTAAAAGTTTCTATTTTTTATTTACGTTTCTAAACCATGTCGTCACAGGTAATGTAGAACTAAGTCGTCACATGACGAGAACTTTAGAAAAGTTTTGGTAAAGTCACCACATGATGCAGTAATATCCTCGTGATCGTAGTAAAGCAATTTTTCTACAGAACAACAAATAAAAATAAAGAACTTTTTGAGAAGTTTTTTTTTGTTCCAGTTGCCATCATCCTGCTCGTGCTCGGATTGAATCAGAGTAAATGAGCGCACGTGACCGTCACCTTTGTAAAAGGTGACGGCAAGTATGCGTGGTTGTCGGCGAGAGCCAACGTGGATTCTTGTGTGTCTCAACGGTACGATGAATCCATTTATTGACGCAAAGATATTCGTGACAAGAAGTGATCTTGTCTTCAATAATAGATTAAGGCTATTTCATCTTGTGACAAAATACATCAATCCCTGACGAATACGACTGACCGTGACGACTCGCATTTATCATTGCAAGTAAGACTTAAATAAGTTCGCACATGTTATGACTCACTCGTCCGATAGGCAAGAGGACTGGGAATACATTGCCAGGATATTTGTTGTCACATTACAAAAAGTCCTTCGCAGTGTTGGTAGCATTTGTCTCGATCTCTCCCACCTTGCGCCGGCTGCAGAGGCAGGGGTGTCGGCTAACGCGGCTGAGTGAGTTTACCTTTCCAAATCCAAAAGCAACACGTTGTTCCAGCCGCCGCCAGGCCGGCCCTCGGGGCTGGGGGCGCGCGGCGCGCGGGAGTGATATCGCCCGGCTCCAGCAGTGATCGGCTCCAGCTCCAGCACCACTCTTGCACCACAGCCGAGCCGCCGCCTGCTCGGTATTACAGAAAACAATCCATATTAATTCCCGTAAATCTTCGCATTGCGGCGATCCAATTTTGCTCCTCGTCGTTCCCTCTTTGTTCCCTTCTCCTCCTCTCTCGACCTTTTTTCTCTCTTGTCCCCCTGTTCCACACCTCCACCTGTACCGCAGTGGTGCGGAGGCCAGCGCGTCGGGCGAGGTAGGCTATCAGTCCGCTTGTGCGACACGGCTCGCCCGCGCTTTGCGTACGCACGACCGAAGGATTTACGACCGTATAAAGTGAGCTATTTGTGCTCGGACTGGACGATCTGAAAGACCAAGCGCTACATCAATTATTTAAAAAGGAAAAAAATCCTGATCTACTTTACTGATTATTTTTTTCTATTGATAGTTTTGAATGAGTGGTCAGAGGTAGACAGTCCCGCAGTGGACGCGTGTGTGAGTGTTGCCTACCCAACACAGATCAGGCCAGGCTGACAGGCTGACCCGAAAGAAGCCGTTTCCTTTTCCGTTTATTTTTGGCAGAACGTCGCGTTTGTGAACTTGGCTCTGTGGTGACTCCAACTTATTATAACATATCTTGTCAATTCTGCCTGCCTCCAGGATGGATGGGGATGAATGGATAGATGGATAGTCTTTGGTCACTGGAACTAGAGCTAAAAGTTTCTCTACCGCTTTAA